GCTGGGATTACAGGCACGCACCACCATGCCCAGCTAATTTTTTGTATTTTTAGTAGAGACGGGGTTTCACCGTGTTGACCAGGATGGTCTGGATCTCTTGACCTCGTGGTCCACCCGCCTCAGCCTCCCACAGTGCTGGGATTACAGGCTTGAGCCGCCGCGCCTGGCCTAATATTTGATTTTTTAAAGAGTGGCTTCAAAAATTACTGGGAAGGCCAGGCATGGTGGCTCACACCTATAATCCCAGCACTTTGGGAGGCCAAGGCAGGCAGATCACCAGAGGTCAGGAGTTCGAGATCAGCTGGCTAACATGGTGAAATCCCATCACCACTAAAGTATACAAAAGTAGCTGGGCGTGGTGGCATGCACCTGTAATCTCAGCTACTCTCGAGACTAAGGCAGGAGAATCTCTTGAACCAGGGAGGTGGAGGTGGTGGTGAGCCGGGAGGATCATGCTACTGCACTCCAGCCTGGGCAACAGAGTGAGACCTGGCCTCAAAAAAAAAAAATTACTGGGGAAAGGATAGGTAAGCAGGTAGTGCTGACCAAACCACACTTTGGAGAGAAAAGTGGATTTGGATCTTTACCTCACCTTATACAGAAAAATTGCTTCAGAGTAAAGTATTTTTTACTTTTTTTTTTTCTATAAGCATGAGGGGAATGGGGAGTATCTTGGACTAGGGAAGTACATATTAACAAGACTTCTTAAAATGCAAACCATAAGGTGAAAACTTGATGGATTTTATCACTTTGTAACCATCATGAGATGGGATCAAGCAAGAACCATCAATGGATGCTAAATCTAGACAGAAGTTTTGACCGAGAGTAAGTACCTGCATAACCTTAAAGTGCCTCCCCACAGATTGCTTATTGCAAGAGAAAAACTACCTGTATGGTGGAGGAACAGCCAATGAGAGAAAATTATTGTATCCATGTTAAATTAACTTAAGTTGGTAATTAACTCTAGTATGTGTAAGAGAACATTCATAAGCTTAGGAAATACACATGGAAGTATTTGTAATGTAACTTACTCTTAAAGCAGTTGATAAAAAAATAGGGCAATATATTACAAAGTAAATGGAGTAAATATGTTAATAGGATTTTGTCATAAAAATTAAGGAAAATTTTACTAATCTTAAAAAGCTTAGTTGGCTAGGATAAAATATTTGCTACATTTAAACCAGCAGTTATCTAGAATACAAGAAACTCCTGGAAATCAACCAGAGTAGCCCAGTGGAAATATGGGCAAGGATTGAACAGGCGATTTACGGAAGGATAAACCGGATAGAATGGCTAATCGTTTTGTATAGGTCTTGAGAACAATACCAAGCGAGGAAAAACAAATAGAATGATAGCTTTTATGCAGTATCATTTATATAAATTTAAAATGCATGCATACATTCACAACAGTGTTTCAAAATTGCAGCTGCAAAGATATCAGAGGAGGTGTTTATGATTAGGGAGACGAATGGAAAGTAAAAGGACCCCAAAAATAGAATAAAAGTAGAGAGGGATGCTACACACAGATGTCAGCAGGCCATGACATCAAGAGTTAGATGAATTAAACTCACCAAAGTTCCCTAAGATAAAGGAGGAGAAAGTGACAGCTCCCATGCTCTTATTAATTTGGCTTGATCTTAATGTGTTCGAATTTCCATTACAGCTCAGGGTACCAGCCCCAACTTGCCCGCTTACCTACGCATTTATATTTAAACTTTCCTGGCTTTCTCACCAAACTCGAACCCTACTCCTGGCACACCCTTGGGCATGTCAGATATACGTTCATCACAAACTCTTTCGGGCCACAAAGGGATTGTTTCCCAGCTTTTGGCCAAGAGTATAGGTGCCCATTCTTGAGAGTTTCAGCTTCACATTAAAAAAAAAAAATTAGATACAATTAAGAGACCATAAAATTTACCCGCTTAAAATGCTCAATTCAATAGTTTTTAGTATACTTAGTTATGCACTCACCATAATCCTAGAACATTTTCATCCAAAAAAGAAAACCTGTACCTATTATTCAGCTTCATTTTTAATCGTGTATTTCTCCCCCCAGGGGTGGTAATAAAACTTTCAGGCTGGTCACCATCCAACAAGAAAAACGTGCAGCCTGGGGCTCCATGGGAACTTATCACTTGGCAAGCTTGGGTAAACACCTGGACGCTTGAGGCGGCCCTGCCAAGATGTCTTTTTCAATGTTTTTGAAAAGATAATAAATGTGCATGGCAGTGGTGAAAGGATGCCCAGGGGAAAGACTCTCCCCCTACCCCCAACCTCACACCCTTCCCTGATCCCTACTCCGGAGGCAATGAGTTTAGCAGTTTCTTGTGTGTCTTCTTGGAGAGATCCTCCCCGCAGAGGTGTTTTGTTTCTTGAGACAGGGTCTCTGTCGCCCAGGCAGGAGTGCAGTGGCATGATCATGGCTCACTGCAACCTCGACCTCCCAGGTTCAAGCGATCCTCCCGCCTCAGCCTCCCCAAGCAGCTGGGACCACAGGTGTGCCACCATGCGCAGCTAATTTTTAACGTTTTTTTGTAGAGACAGGGGTCTCCAACTCCTGGGCTCAAAGCAATCCACCCGCATCAGCCACCCAAAGTGTTGGGATTACAGGCGTGAGCCACCACACCCGGCCTCCCACAGGTTTCAGTCAGCATTATTTACCCCTCAGGAGAAGAAGGACCAAATTGGCTGCGGAGTGGGGTGTGTGGTTGAAAGGCCAAGGTCGGCCTACGGCGTGTGCCCCTGCCTTTCGTTGAAGATCGACCCCAATAGCCTGCTGCTTTCCCTCCCTAGGTGACCGCACGCTGAGGGTGGAGCATCACTAAACACTACCCATGCGCCTCGAGAACTGGAACCTAACTGCTTGGAGGGCGGGTCCTCCGGGGTCTGCCCATGTGGCATTGGTCCAACTGGCACCCACCTGTGGGCCTAGCCAGAAACTGTTTCTAAGGCTGCATTGCTGAGTTTGCATGCAAACGCCCAGGGTGTGTAAACGTGTGCGTGCTGAGTGAGCACGTGTGTGCACGTTGTGTGCTGTGTTCATGCATTGTGTGAGGATGTGTGTGTACGGTGTGTGAGAAACTGCACCCTACATCTATACGCGATTTGAGTGTATATCTACACTGTGTGAGAAGGTGCATTACGCTGGTGTGCACGTTGAGTGTGCATGTTGCATGTAAGTATGTGAACTGTGTGTGCACGCCTTCTGTGTGTGCACTGTGTACAACAGTGTGTAAAGACGAGTGTACGCCCGTACGCGCCGTGTGAGGACTGCTGTGCACATGAAATGCACACGCTATGTGCGCGCACAACGTGAGAAGCGGTGCGCATATCGCACGTGCACGCCCTGCAAGCGAGAACCGGTGCGCCTATCTCACGTGCACGCCCTGCGGGCGCTGTGCGTGGAACCGGTGCGCCTATCGTACATCCACGCCCTGCAAGCGAGAACCGGTGCGCCTATCGCACGTGCACGTCCTGCGCGCGCGCTGCGTGAGAACCGATGCGCCTGTCGCACGTGCACCCCTGCGTGCGCTGTGAGTGGAACCGGTGCGCCTGTCGCACGTGCACCCCTGCGTGCGCTGTGAGTGGAACCTGTGCGCCTATCGCACGTGCACGCCCTGCGCGCGCGCTGCGTGAGGATGCGTGCGCATGATGACGCGCGCGGGTTCGATGCGGCGCGGCGGGCTTGGCAGTGCGCCTGTGCGGTTGGTGTGTCCTGATGGAGCGAGGCGGCGGCTTCGGGACGGGATCCCGGCCTGAGGGTACTGCGCGGGGTAGCCCTCTTTCAGGGAAGGTCGCAGAACCGGGCGCGGTGCGGACCTCTCACCCCAACTACAGGCCTCAAGGTAGGATCCCCAGAGTGTGGCGGGCGCCCGAGGGCTTCGGGTTCTCCCGCGGAGGCGGAGCGGGACTGGCAGGGTGGCGCAGGGCAGCGGTCTTCGAGCGTTGGGGGAGGGGGCACGGCTCAGAGCTGGGATAAACGCCCTTTCCCTGGTCCGGGATCGACCAGACGTTTATCCAAGGGGCGCACCCCTCTCTGTGCGAGTGGCGGTCTTTTTCTGGGGAGACCTGGGTGAGTGCGTACACCTGGGGGATGGCTTAGGGTGGGCGGCAGGAGTGTTTGAGTTGGAGGTGCCCTTGAAGGTGCTGGGTGTCCAGTACCGGTCGTCGAGGAGCAGCCGGCGTGGGGGTCGTTAGGGTAAACAGAGCGGGCTTCTGGGGTTTCCCGGGCCTCCGCGCGTGCCCTCTCTGCGTTCTGAGAAATGCGCGCGAGCACCGCTGCAGCCCAGCTTTGCACCTCTTGGCGTTCCCAGGGGGCAAAACCAGTGTGTCACCCATTGGCAGAGGCAGAGGGATTGTTGCCTGGGCGGCCAGGTGTCTGTCGCAGACCGGGTGCTCCTCCGGCTCGGACGCACTCCCTGTGGTCTCGGGTACACTGCTCAGGTGGCCCGGCCGCGGCCCCCTCTGGAGGCAGCGGGGCAAACTAGGCTCTCAGCCCTCGAGGCTGCAGATGCCGGGAGCCATGGAGGGCTGAACTCTGGCTGCCCAGAAGCCGGCGAGGCAGTGGGGGAGACTGTCAGGACATTTTGGCAGGATTTTGGATAAGCAGGTCTCGAATGATGCTAACGTTCTGTAAAGTGGTTGCAGGTAGTGCGGGGTTGTAAACAGCATGGAAACTGATTTCATGCTGTTTTTCCTGACAACACCTTTTTCTTTTTTTTACTTAATAATGCAGGCTATTTTTAAAACATTTTTTACTGCAGTCTAACATGCATTTTAAAAAACGCACAAAAGTATGATTCGATGAATTATCACATAGTGAAAATATGAGTATTTTATATAAGCTGGGCCAAGAAAAGGAAAGAAATCAAGAGAAATTTTCATAAAACATGCTTTTTCACTGGGGTTGTAGGGGCGAGGGGTATTTTCTGATTGGGCCTTCAGTTGCATCATTCATAGGAGGAGATAGCTTAAATAATTTCCGGTAGTGTTTTTCATTATGCCTTTTCAAAGGCAGAATTCATTAAATGTCACAGGATAACGTCATAACTACCTTTGAAATGTGTGCTTTTGTTTTTATCCTTTCTGCTTGAAACACTCAAGCTGCATCTGCTAAGGAAGAACCTGGAAACCACTCTCCAGAATGCCCCTCCCTGGCAGAGGCGACCTTATGTAATAAAACATTGAAAAGGAGAGGTTGTTTCAGTTTGCATTTTTATTTGGTTGAGAGCTTAAATAATGGTTTATTTAGATGTTTTGTTGTACTCATGAGAAGTGGGGAGGGGCGGTATGGCTGGGCCTTCAGTGTATCTTGGATTTTATTTGAAGGAACTTCAGGGGAGATTTTTTTTTTTTTAATGGAAACAAAATTAGGGGAAGGGGGGGAAGAGGTACTTTGGCAGGGGAATTTCTTAATAAGTTCTGTTTAGAAACTATTGTAGAATCATTTAATGCACTTTTCTGATATTAAGATTAGCTTAAAACTATTTTCATTTGAAATTGGAAATATAGAAAGGCATGTTGTGTGAAGGTTTAAAATGTGAAATAAACACCTATGAGCATTAAGGTTGGTATGGTCAAATTGGAATGTTCAATTTAGGTGCCAGGTGATACCACGATTTGTTCTTTGGGGGAGTTAGCAAGGCTAGGGGCTTAAAAAAAAATAGTCTCCTTAGAAAAATTATGATTCTTGAGGTTTTATAATAATCTGTCCTGGATACTGATTATTCTTGGTTACCCAGGCCCTTAGCATTTGGGACCCTTTCCTGATGAGAATTAACCTGCTCTTCTAGAGAGTCAACCATTGTTCCTGAGCTTCAGCTGGTGCTGTGAAGGCTGCAAAACACAGAAAGACCTGAGATGTTTAGGCTATCCAACAGTTTTGTGTTGTACAGTTGAGGGATATGAGTTGGCTAGTGGTTTTCCTGGGAGCTGTTGTAGAAGACAGCAAGGAAATACTGCTGGTGGTTTCCTCTAGCAACAGGTTCTTCCGACATTGAAATCCTGTGCATGTTCCCATTACCCCCCAGTGATGCCTTCTTTCTTTCCTTTTAATTACCTCTGAATAGAAATTACCAAATCTACTGTTTAATAGTTATCTGATATGCATAGTATAACAAATGAGCAAGAACTTGTTTCAATCTGCTTGAATACCTTTATTTTTTAATTTGTATTTTATTTTATTTTTTGGTGGGGATGGAGTCTTGCTCTTGTCCCCCAGGCTAAAGTGCAATGGCACGATCTCGGCTCACTGCAATCTCTACCTCCCGGGTTCAAGCGATTGTCCTGCCTCAGCCTCCCGAGTAGCTGGAATTACAGGCACCTACCACCACACCCGGCTAATTTTTGTATTATTTTAGTAGAGACAGGGTTTTGCCATGTTGGCCAGGCTAGTCTTGAACTCCTGACCTCGTGATCCACTTGCCTTGGCCTCCCAAAGTGCTGGGATTGCAGGCATGAGCCACCGCAACCGGCCTCAATCTGCTTAAATACCTTTAACCAGCTGATAGAATCAGCAGATCTCAACCATGACATTGGACAGCATCACTGTCACACAGACCTTGTGTCCCCCTCAGACTGAAATACTCCCTTCTCCCATTTTCTCTTCAGGAATTCACTTCCTCTAGGTTCTCTCAGTCAGAATTAATGAACTTCCTCCTGTCTGTCCCTGCAGTACCTCCAGACAAGCACTCTTATTCTGCCTGTGTGATATTAACTTTCATGCTCCTCTAGGCAGATGCTTATTGAGTGTTTACTGTGTGCCGGACTCTGCTGGCCATTGCTGTTACTAAAGCTGAGTAGAGAGATTGAGGTCCAGACTGCCTGGGTATGAATGTTAGCACTGTCCTTCCTCCTGTGTCATTTTGGGGAAGTTATTTGACATCTGTGAGTTTCAGTTTTCTCATGTTTAAAATGGGCTTTAGAAGCAGTTGTCAAGTACATCACACTTGCTGGACACAGTGGCTCACACCTGTAATCCCAGCATTTTGGGATGCTGAGGCAGAATGATCAATTGAGCCCAGGAGTTGAAGACCAGCCTGGGGAACAAAGTGAGACCCTGTCTCTTGGGAAAAAAAAAAAAAAGCTGGATGTAGTGGTGCATACCTGTAGTCCCAGTTACTCAGGAGATTGAGGTGAGAGGATCGCTTGAGCCCTGGAGGTTGAGGCTGCCGTGAGCCATGATGGTGCCACTGCACACCAGCCTGGGTGAAAGATTGAGACTCTGTTACACACACATGCACACACACAAATAAGGTGGGGGTTGCCGAAGAATAACACTAGGAGATAGAGTACTGTCTGGAGGATGAAGGAATTAATGTCTGTAAAGCAGGCCTGACGCATAAGTGCTCAAGCTGGTGCATTTCCTCTGTTAGATTGTTAGCTTGAGAGCAAGGCCTGAGTCCAGGCTATAGGCACTTCTCTCAGTGCTGCCTGGTGCAGAAGGTGACTAGATCATCATCCTACCCCTCCTTAGGGTTTTTGTGCATAGTAGGTCTGTGACCATTGTTTAATCGTGTCATGCTGGGAGCAGCTACACTGGGTTGAGTGCTCATAAATCACTGATGAGTTGGATTAAAGAAATGTGGCAGTGCAGAACTTTGAGATAATGGAACTGCAAAGCATGTTTCCAGAGGCCCATTTAGTTTTCCAGTGTATTCTACAGGTATATATTGTTTAAAAATTTTTTTATTGTAATAGCTTTTGGGGTACAAGTGATTTTGGGTTACATGGATGAATTGTATAGTGGTGAAATCTCAGATTTTTGTGTCCCAGTCACCTGAGTAGTATACATTGTTTACTGAATTGAAATCCTTTCCCTCTTATTCCGTAGGAAGGAGGGAATTGCTTTGAGGTAAGATGGCATTTCCTCAAGTCCTTCCATCTGCATATCTTCATTCCCTGCCCTGGAGCTCAAGAATGTAGAGGTGCAAACTGGAAGTTCAGGATAACCTCCCTCGGGGGGTTCACAGTAGGGTGGGGGCCAGACACGGTGGCTCATGCTTGTAATCACAGCACTTTGATTTTTCTTTTCTTTTTTTTAAGACAAAGTCTCACTCTTGTCCAGGCTGGAGTGCAGTGGTGCAATCTCGGCTCACTGCAACCTCCACCTTCTGCGCCACCATGCCCAAATTCCAGCACTTTAGGAGGCCAAGGCAGGTGGATCACTTGAGGTCAGGAGTTTGAGACCAGTCTGGCCAACATGGTGTAACCCTGTCTCTACCAAAAATACAAACATTAGCCAGGTGCAGTGAGCTGACATTGTTGCACATTGTTGCACTCCAGCGTGGGCAACAGAGCCAGATTCTGTCTCAAAAGAAAAACAAAGTAGGATGGGGCCCCACCGAGGTCCAGAGTAGATGGTTATTGGAGGCTGGGAAGAGTAGTTGGGGGTGGGAGGGAGGTGGGGATGGTTAATGGGTATAAAAAAATAGAATGAATTAATAAGGCCTAGTATTTGATAGCACGACAGGGTAATTATAGTCAATAATAATTTAATGATACATTTAAAAATAATGAATAGTATGATTAGATTGTTTATAACACAAAGGATAAATGCTTGAGGGGATGGCTAACCCATTTTCCATGATGTTATTATTTTACATTGCATGCCTGTACCAAAACATCTCATATGCCCCAGAAATATACGCATCTACTACCTACCATGTACTCATGAGAAATTAAAAATTGTAAAATTTAAAAAAGTAGGGTGGGCCCGAGCAGCAAAGACTGAGAGTTGGGTCCCCAAGAAATCGGAGTTCTTCATCCTTTTTCAAAGCTCTGTTTAAAACTATTCTTGAACACTTTAATCCTAAAACTGTTCAGATCAAGAACAAGTTGAGTTTAT